GGTACATGCAAAAGAACGGGGGGGGGGGCGGGGCGGGCGGGGGCCTGCGGCAGGCAGGTGCCTGCGGGCTGCGGGGGCTCCTCATGGAGGAGCACGGCCCCAGGCCACAGCCCCATGGGCTGCTGGGGCAGCAGCGTCCCTGCCAGCAGGGGATGTCCCGAGCAGGGAGCAGGGGCGGTGGGGGGAGCCACAGCTGGGTGCAGCCCCCCAGGTAGGAGCAGCAGCACCGGTAAGTGCAGCCCCGCAGCTGGGGTCAGGCCCCCAGGTGGCAGCTGAGCCGGGGTTGGGGGCAGCCCCCCAGGTGGGAGCTGTGCTGCCTGTCCCCAGACACCTGGTCCCCCAGGCCAGACAGAGGCCTGAGGTGCCAGGTAGGTGGCAGTGGGGACAGGGGAGGGTTGGGGTGGTACCGGCATCGGTCCGCGGACGGTGGGCTGCATCCAGGCAGGGTCCGGTGGCGGCACAGTCGCTTCAACGTAAATGGCGTCGGGTGTCAGAGGCACCGTCAGCACTCGTCGAGGGAATCTCTCTGTGGGGAAATGCCAGAAGGGGCGCTGGGCTGAGAGCCGGGGCACTGGGGTGAGATCTGGGTGAGAGGAGTGGGATCTGGTGTGCTGGGGTGCGATCTGCGGTCACGGGTGTGAGATCTGGGGCCCTGGGGTGAGATCTGGGGGCACAGGGGTGAGATCTGGGGTCAAAGGGGTGAGATCTGGGGCCCTGGGGTGAGATCTGGGGTCAAAAGGGTGAGATCTGGGGCCCTGGGGTGAGATCTGGGGCATTGGGGTCAGATGGAGTGTCAGAGCAGGGGGAGCCCGCTGCCTTACCTGCCATGACAGCTGGAGAGTGGCAGTTGGGGGAGCCCCTCCCCCCAGGGGGGTTCCGTGACCGTTGGGGTCAGCCCCTTTCCCCCAGGCTTGCGATGGTTTGACTTTTCGTACCCAAACATCCTTCCCATGCCAGTTGTTTCCCATCCCGATGATCAGTGACCATCCCGATGGGCATTTGGCAGCCCAGTGCTCTTCCTTGCCAAGGGTCTGCCCGTCCCAGTGGGGATTTGCCATCCCTGCAGTGAGTTCTCACCCCAGGGATGGTTTCCCCTCCCGTCCAAGCGATTTCCAGTCGTCACCACCACCCAAGACTGTGTAAAGTGCCAGCATTAGTT